CTTGTGTATGGGATTAAAAAAGGGAAAAGGAAAGAAGGTAGGAAGATTGAAATAAAGTAGAAAAGAAGAGGAAGATTGAAGAAGATGGAAGAGCGAAAATAGAGGAAGAAGATGGAAGAAAATGAAGGAAGGAAGAGAGTCAATCAAACCTCTCTCCAGTCCCCCACAACTATATTTTATTCTTTGATTGTAAAAAGAACACAATTCTACGAATACCCTTAGTAGGGCAGCCAACACTAAAAGCAGCACTAAAGTAATAATAAAAGAAATAAAATAGGCCCATAATTAAGGCCCACTACTCATACATATAAAGCATAAACGGAAATAAACAAAAAATAAGAAATCATGGCCCATTTGAACCATCATCTCTACGGTCTCTAAGAGGCCCCTTCAACATCTCAAGTTTCATGGTTGTGGCTTCAACAGTACACCTATTTTTCATGGACGTTATTCCAACATCCTTCCTTACAAACTCAAGCTGGTTTCCCCACTTTGAGTTTGAGGGAAGGTGTAGAAAATAATATTGTATTTGGTTGTATTTGGGTATTCTTTTAGAGAGAGTGTTGGAGGTTTCAGGGATATATTTCTAATGTTGATAAATTTTGAGAACTTGTATGTATTTATGGGAAGAAGAGGGGCATGTGTGTAATTCTTATATAATTTGGTCTTTTTGCTCATTTAAGCCCTTGGTTGTGTGGGAGAGTGGAAATTTTGTATCTCTTATTCTCATAATGGATGTTTTCCCTCTCTTTCCGTGGATGTAGGCAACCAAGCCAAACCACATTAAATTTTGGTGCTTTTTCTCCCTCTTCCTATTTTCTTATTGGTTTACTATTCTCTTTCGTGCTGGTTGACAAGATTCTCCTGACTATGAGAAATGGGAGTCAAGCAATCATATTCTCATCACTCATGTCATAGCTTCTAAACTCAATGCAGCCTAATATTAGCAGAAGTTTCTTGTTACCAGATGAGCAAAAGAAAGTTTACAATAAAGTAGGCAAAACATATTTCAATAAACGAAACATTGCCCATATTTGTCAGTTCAAACAAGAGATTACAGGCCTATGTCAAGAGGAGAACTCTTTTTCTGAATACTACTCTACCATTGTGAGTAATATGGCAGGATTTGGACCTTTTTCAGATGTACAAACTATCCCACAAAGAGGATAGAAAGAAATTCAAGGTCAGATAAAACATAATAGAATTTTTGAATTCCTAGCAGGGCTGAGTTCAGAGTATGATACAGCATCTGTGCAGATTCTTAGTAGGGATGAATTGCCCTCATTTGTCAACTAAATGCATTATTTGCTTCTCTTTATTTCACTTCATCCTTTTTACTTTACTCTGTCTGAAAAGACTAGATAGAATTGCTCTTCTAAAAGTTGTCAGACAGTGAAGTAGTTAAGGGTAAAGTTAACAATGGGTGAAAGTAGTTGGAAATGATTTAAGTGCCCATAATTTAAAAATGGATATGGCATTAAACAGAATGCAATGGTGAAACAGAACTCATGTAGCCAACCCCATATAGTTGGGATAAAGCTTGGAGATGATGATGTCGATAAATGTCTTAACAGTAATAAGGTATTTTGGTAACTTGAATACCTCTATTACTGAAAAGTTAATGGGAGGTATTCGCACATTTTTTCAAAACTATAGGGGAGGTTTCTGTTACAGTCAAAACACAGGGGAAGTTTATAGGATTGTCATAAAACCCAGTGAAGTTTTTTATAATTTTCCGTAAAATTTATATAAATATTATATATTATAAAACACAAAATATTATATACATCTAATATTTTATAATTAAAGTTATAGACCCAAAGTACAGCCATTGACCAGGCTTATATTTCAGGCTTGGGGTCCAAGCCAGGCTAGGCCTAGGGCCAGACCCCAGACCCAGGCTACAGCCTTTACAATAGGCATTAAGCCCAGCCCATGATCTCTGCTAGAACCCTTTAGGTTGACATAGGCTAAGGCTGACATAGACACCTACCCCTTAACCGTTATTATTTTACACTCCACAGGTATAGGAAAATAACTCCCTATTATATTTTATTCCTTTGCACCTTTTGTCTAGCCAAAGCAACAACAAATTATAGGATGGCATTTTCTCATGATACTTGATAAATTAGGATAGTATAGTATCATATTCCTATATTCTCTCCAACAATTTGATGGTATTGTTAGCGGCATTGAGGTTTTTTCTCAATATCATTAGCATTAAACTATTATTTGCTGATACTACAATCCTGATGCAAGACAAGAAGGAGAAAAATCCTACTAAGGTGAACATGGTGGGTAATGATGGAGAATTTAAGGATCTGAAACATGGGAACAAAGAAAAAAGTAATATTGAGAAGGAAATTATAGGAAAGAAAGCATTGCACTTGTAGAGATAAAGAGAGAAAAAACACAGAAAATAGCTACCTACAATTTGTTTTCTCCACCCAATGACTTCTTTTACAGTTTTACCAGTAACAGAAATTCTATTGCTTAAAAACAGAATTCTACATGGATCATGTGCAAGCAGTACATAACATGATTATACATAGAGATAAATGGCACCACCCCAGTCCTTAGGTCAAACCCCAATTACGTTACCAATACCCTTCACATATGGTCATTACAGGCCCCCAATATAGCTGGCTTCTTTGGACTCTTTGCCTGGCAAGAGCATTGGCTAGGCAGTTGGCAGATCTCTTTACCGAGCTGAAATTAATAGTCATTTTTCCTATCAATAATTGAACCTCTCTCAAAGGGTTCCTGTATTTCCATTGTCCTTCTTTGCTCCCATTCAACCACCTAACTACCAACTACCACCTCGGAGTCACCTTTGATCACCAACTTGTTAAAACAGAATGTTTTATCCAGTTTGTTCCCTTGAAGGACTGCTAGAACCGCCTTGTCTTGTGCAGTCCCCATGCCATAGTTGTCAAGGCAATACCTAGGCGCGGCGGGCGCCTAGGTGATGCCTTGGCGATAAGGCATTCTTGGAGGGTCGCCTCACCCAAACGCCTACATATTTATATGTAAGACACCACACAATATTTTATATTTTTATTTTATGTTATTAATAGTAGTACAATAGATGTTATTAGACTAAATTATTCATATTGCAGGTTTATAGTATTAATATTGTTATTTTTATACTAGCTTCTTTTTGTTATTTTCTCATTTGTTTGGGTTCAACCGAGAGACAAGTCAGTAACATAGTCTTGAATCCTTTAAGACTTTAAAATCTGAATTGATAAGTAAAAAATAACTTGAAGATTTTATCCAATTGGTACACAAGAATAATCAATAGGACTTCTTCATCGAAATAAAAGTCAGTGACATAGTCTTGAATCCCTTGGGGACTTTAAAACTTGAATTGATAAGTAAAAAATAACTTGAAGGTTTTATCCAATTGGCACACAAGAACAATCAATAGGACTTCAACCCTTATGTTTTGTATGTTTCTTTCCTTTTTTGTTTTTTTTTTTTTTTACTCATAAGAATGTTCAGTTCTAACCATTGATATGGGGTTTATACTTATTTCATGAGAATTATGGTGATTACTAGTTAAAGATCACTACTTATTACTATGAAACCTAAGGATCTACCCTAGGATTTATATATTCTTTATTTGAAAAAACTCATCGCGTAGGTGACTAGGCGACAAGGCACTCCCCTATCGCCCAGCTTCGCCTTGGCGCCTTGAAAACTATGCCCCATGCCTGTTGGCCCCAAATATAAGAAAACAAAATGACTTTGCTTATCTCTAACGATACCCCCTATTCCAGACTGCCCCAGGTTGCCTAAGCAGCTATCAACCAAATTCATCTTGATAACAGATTGTGCTGGTGGAGTCCAATCCAAGAATATCCCATTTCTCTACCCATGCCTGTTGGCCTCAAATATAAGAAAACAAAATGATTTTGCTTATCTCTAATGATACCCCCTATTCCCGACTGCCCCAGGCTGCCTAAGCAGCTATCATCAAAATTCATCTTGATAACACATTGTGCTGGTGGAGTCCAATCCAAGAATATTTCATTTCTCTACCTAATAATTCCATTCATCAATTTAATAAATTAGCAGGATATCCTCAAAGTGCCTTTTGACACATAATGCTTGGATAATGTCCAGCAGACTCCTTCAGGCCTGGTAATCATCATTCAAATTAAGGATACAAGTTCTTTTGTTTTAATACTTCTTCTTGGTCAATCTAATCCAAGGATCAATATATTAAACAACTAACGGAATCATGTGTTTTATTAGCTGTAAATCACATATAATGAACAAGGAGAAAAGAAGAAGAAATACATTGAAATGTCATTTCTTCCTTCAAAACTCAACCAATCTCTACATTTCAACAGAATACTTTCTGAACAATACACAATCAAATTCAAACCAAATTATTGAATTAAATTAGGTTCCTAATATGGACATATAATTCCAGATTCACCACTGTTGTTTTATCTTTTTTCTTATGTGGCATCCTATCCATTTCAGCTTCTGTTCTGTGGAAAGCCCATTACCAATGCTGGCCCCAGTTATCCAGTGTCAGCAGGGAGGTTCTGACCTAACTTCTGGATCTTTTGCACAAAATGGCCATGTCAGACTTGAACCCATGTTCCCCAGTTGTCAGCCCAAAATTTTACAAATGGCAAATTACAAATGGCAAAATTGTCAGTATCTATTATTACCCGCGCAAACATCAAAAAATGCCAACTCGCCACAATTTTATAATTAGAGGTCAAGAAAACTACAAACGCCCAGAAAAACCAAAATTAAAACGAATTTTCCAGTAGAAACTACTTCAACTAACTCAGCGGCTCTTTTTAACCCCTTATGCCAGCACATTTAATATGACCAACTCACTTGTACTAATCCATCCTTCATTTAAAACTCAAATTAACTTGGTCCAGTGCAATTAAAATCCACGGAAAATTAAGAATTCTTAACAAAAGCAGAACCTGCAAACTAATGAGTACAAAAAGAAACGATGTAGGGTCTACCTCCCAATAATGCCATTAACCATAACAACAAGGTGCTCGGGGTACGAATTCGCCTCTGCTGACGCCGCATCCCAGACATCTTCACCACCCTGTACAGACTCCACCTCCACCTTCTGCCCTTTCTTTGGGCGACCCTTGAAGCAGAGCAGGCTCATCCCCGGAGCCCTATCCGTTCTACTCCCTCCACCCGACAGGGTTCCTTCTCGAGATTTCGTATGAAACCCTAACCGTATCCAGGACATCTCCCTGGGACTGCAGCGAATCACAACCCGGCACTGTCTCGGGATCTCCTTCGCGCCCAAATACACGCTTTCAGGCAGAAATTTGGCGCCAATCATGCGTGGCGAATCGAAGCAACGAGCATGATAGAGAAATTCAATGTTTCAGAGAGGTATGAAAAGGCATTTGGATTTAAAATGATATAAAAATCGACTATATCCAACTCATGTCTGAGATTGCATTTGAAGAAAATAAATAAAGGTGGAAAGTGTTTTGATGTTACATGATCGATCGAAAATTCTCGTGACAGTGGACTGGAAAGATGGTCGTAGGATGGTGGGGGCCGGTGTTGGAGGAAAATTACAATTTACAGTTGACTTGCAGTAGGCGTTCACAGTTATGATTTATGAAGTTGTTGAACTGAAAGCTTATTGCTTTGGACCCGTTTGGAAGGGCTGAGCCGAAGATGAGCTTCAATTCAGCTTAAGCTAGTTCAGCAGCTTTGAAAACGTTGGTTTTGTTTAAAGAACTGAAAGGGTATTTAAAGGAATAGGATCCCCTTGCCAACAAAACAACGTTCCAACCACCTACTAACATGATCTGACAGCGTACATCTCACCATGAGACTTGGACCCGCCATGTATGATATCTGTGGTGTCAGATTGTGTTCGTGTTTTGTTTACAGGTGATTTAGACTCATTAAAGGGAAAAGTATGTCCCCACAAATCACTAGCTAAGAAAGTCAACAACTTCGATTTGGCTCGTGAAAAACATGTCTTTATACCCAATGGCCGATTTAGGACTTTTGACCAATGGAGACAGGGAATCGAGCGATGAGGATGGATACCTAATGGGGGCAAGAAAAATTGTCAATTTTTAGGTTTGAGGAGACAAAATAGAGTGAGAGATGAGATTGAATTGTAAAATAGGAAAAAAAAAAAAAGACCCCATAACTTGGCTGATGTGGAATAAAGACATGGGTGGAAAAATCTATGATGCGAAAAAGGTATGGTATGGGAAGAGTTTTGACCAATTAAAACCCACCCATGAATTTCAATAAATAACACTTAATTGACTACACGTTCATAATTGCAATTGACTGATCAGAAGTTTTTCAGGTATCATATCTTTTCCATATAATCTATGATGCAGAAAAGATATTGTATGATAAGAGCTTTGACCAATCAAAACCCACCCATCTCCCTATCCATAAATGATATTGCTTTTTACGACAAAACGTTTAATTGGGTAAAAGCTTATAAGCTATGGTTGGTGACCGACGAAAATGCTGCCTCCCACATGTTTTATGTGCATTGTCTACTACCAACGTGAGAGAAGTCTGACCACGTGATATTTTGTTTAAAACATCAATAAAATATGTTTGTTTTTTATTGTAAATTGGCTATTACCAACGTGATATAAGTGTGGGTAACACAATTTGGGAGCAATGAATGAAGAATGTGGAGATGGAGAGGGATTGGTGAGAAAGCACCTTCACAACTTTGAAAAATATCCTTTGCTAAATAATTCCAAACAATCAAATGTGTCTTATCCATTTAGCTAATTGAACATCTGTACTAATATTCTTTTTTTATAAATTATGGTTTTGTCTTGTTTGTAGTCTCAAGATTGAAATGTACCTTTTTAATATTGATCATCTTTGAGTGCAAAGTTTGCCTTTCATTTTTTGGGTGCAAATTTTGCTCTCATTTTGAATGCAAATATGTCTTGAAATCTGTATTTATTGTTATTTTAAGACATAAATGTACCCTTACCAAGCACTAGAAAACTAAATCAAAGTACAAATATACATAGGGGTGCAAATGGATTGGATTATGTATTTTTGTCGGATCCGGATAACCTCTGTCAATTTCTCAAATCAGATAATCCGGGTCCGGTTGAAAATTGGATCATATTCGGATCACCCCTATCCGATCTGATCCGACCTGTATATATATACATATATATAAACATATTTACTTATAAAAAACGTGTCTATTTTATTATGTTTATATTACATTTTTTCTAAATTTTTTTATAAAAAGAAATGTATATATCAAAATATATGATGAAAATAGTGAAAAATACTTGTATGTTTTGTTTTTTATACAAACTTTTATGCATTTTTATTCTAATAATTTATTAAATTTTTCATAATTTAAATCATATCAGATCATATTCGGATATCCGACATCCTTCATGGATTTGGATTCGAACCACCTTTTGTGTGATTTGATTGGACCTTTGGATCGCATCAGATCTTGAATATGTGATATCAAATTGGATTCGGATATACCTTGATTCGAATCTGATCCGATTTGTTTGCATCCCTAAATATACATTCAGACAACATTTGCACTCTTCCCAAATGGAGTGTTARGCTCAGTTTGGAAGGAGTACAAATACAAATATGTCAAGTGCAAATATATGTATTTTATATTATTTTGCATGTACTCTTTCCTAATTGAGCCTTAGGGATTATGGGATGTGGCTTCAAGAGGATGGCAATTTATAGGGCTAAACCACAAGGTTGATTGATTGAATAAATGTTGACATTTTGAAGATTTTGAGTGGTTTGGAGCCAATAGGTTATAACTGCAATATTTTGGTTGAGTAAAAAACAGTGAGAAAAGCTGAAATAAAAATTACTAAGAAGTTGGAGGGCTAGACCTTGTTGAGGTTGATGCCATTGAACACACCCATGTGTTTTGATGATAATAAACACACCAAGATGCACTACATCAACCAAAGAAAGTGAAACATTAAGAGACAAACTTCATCAAGCATTGGATTGGAACATTCTTTGAAGAAAAGCCTCCAAGTGGTTCATATATTATGCTTCAAGAATCAAGTCTAAGTTATATGTGAACTCGACATATGGAACTTAGTCATGGAACTTCCTCTTTCTTTAATCATGTCAAAAGTTCAATTGGTTTGGCTCAAAATCAGGTTGACCTACCCTAGGGTAGTGTTGAAAAGTTAAGTCTAGCAATATAGGGAAATAGACATCTTCTAGGAACCAAGAAACATCTCTTGAAATCACCGTAGTCCAAAAGGAATCCCCTGGTAATAGTGCTAGCCCAAGAGACATCTCCTAATAAGCAAGACTCAAGAGACATTGCCTAAGGCACAAGTGGAAGGAAACATCTCCTTAGGGCAAGAGACATCCAATCGATCTAATAGTTTTTAAAATGTTTTAATTGCCTCCATAGGGTTGTCTATATAAGAGACAAAAGAGCATATATTTCACTTATATGGCTAATACATTGGCATCGAGTCTTTAGGCGCAGAAGGACGATCAAGTTTAGGTAGAACCTGTGCAAATTTCTTTGATGAATAACCCAATATGTTTTAATGATAGCAAATTCATTTAGAGGACTAACAATGTGGAAAAACAAGTGTATAGTTGTAACAAATCCTTAGTTGAACTTAGAAGTCTTGAAGAAGCAAATGTTAATTTGAAGCACAAAGCAGTAGTTGACTCAAATGATGAATTAAACACTATTTAAGCCAATACAGTAAGAAGATTTGCTACCATGACCATATGAGAAAGAAAAAGAACATATCAAGCTCTAGTGGTTTCTATGTGCTTTATTTATTTAAGATTTGATCGTGACTAACCTTGGCATTACCAAGATCTTAACGACCAGTTGTTAAGTTTTAGGTGAATTCACTTCCCCTAAACTTTATTTGAGCTAAAATGTGAAATACTACGCACGAAAGCCTCAAGGAGTATTTCTCAACTCTGGGTGTCATCAACTAAAGTGAAAATTCTATTAATGTTTCAATGTTTCAATATGTATCATCTATCCATGTATATCCAAAGTGTATCAAAAAATATTACCAATATCTTGCATTACTACATTTTACATTACACATTTTGAACATTGAATGTATTGTGTGGCTACTTTAAAGCTTGATGACCTCTAAGTCGAGAGGATGCCCGAGATTTTTTAATTTGCAAGCACGTTGTCAGGTTGCAAAATCCTATTGAGCATGAATTCAATAAATCAGACTTTTAAAAGCAATAATTGACGTCATTACAATTAGTAGTCGTAAACGCTGCGTTTAATCCCAGCTCAGAATCTCCTCTAGTCTCAAATTGAATAAAAAGAAGACAAACAAAAAAAAAAATACAGAAAAGATAAAAAACGGGGATTCTTCCATTTGAACCGTCGGAGTTTCCTTGATCTAGCAACACTGGAGCTAATATCAATTACGACTAAGCATACCCATTTTTAACTTTCACTTGAATACTTGATATCTAATAAGAAATGTAAGAGTTAGTTTTTAGGACATAGAGGTCTTCCAGAACTGCAAGTCTACCCACTGTATACGAAAAAAAAATAATAATGAATAAAAACACATCCGATATTCCGATCCAAGCCAACCCATCGTGAGATCCAGTGCGATATTTCCAAACTTCCAATTGGAATTCTACGAAAGCTGGCTTCCTTTGCCCGGTAGGATAGCCTAAGATGAGGCAGAATTGTTGTATAAGCCGTAATGCCGTAGGGAAATTTTCTCTAAACAATTAGAACCTTTCTAGAATTTCGTCACCCCAAAGTTACAGAAATAAAGTACATTGCCAGTACATAAAAAAACCAAAGAGAAAGAAAATAAATAAATAAATAAAACCTGAATACCTTGAAAAAAGAATTGTTTAATTCTGAAGCTCAGGACAGTAGCGTATCCTTCTTACTGACAGGAATTTTTACAGGGGGCAACTTGGGATGTACCCAAGCTGGTGAGCTATTAAGCCATAAGCCTTTACCGGTTTCCTTGTGTTTGAAGTCAGGAGCATTCTTATTGAGCTACAAATATAACATGCACATATTAAAAATTAAAGAAATAGTAGCACAATAATGCATGAGAAAGATGGTGCAAAAACAGATATTACACCAATGTTACCTTAACCAATCTGTTGTCCCACCATTTTTCTGGGTTCTCTATCAAATTCTTCCAGGATTCCTCTTCTGCAGTTGTGCAAAGTTCCAAAATGTTAGTCAAATGGTGTGTAGTGGAGAAAGAGTTACCATAACCAGGTCACCGTTACTCGTGATACGCATACAATTTTACCGTGTTTCTGGTTTTAGCCTCTATTTACAGTTCTCATCACAACACAGCTTACGATGAGTAAATTTTATGAATCCATGTAGACAAGGAAGATATAAAGTGGCCCCATAATCTCGAAGCTTTGTTAGGAACTCACTGAAATATTCACAAATAATTCCAAAATTCATTCAGTTTTTGAAAAATCCATCAATTCTGTGGCTTAATTCAGCAAAATTTTGTGAAATATTCAAGAAAATGAATAATGTGAGAATTTCTGAAATATTCAGCTGGTAAAGTTCAGGGTAGAAATATGGGAGTTTTAGTTTTTATCATATCTTTATATGTATATAATTTAGACAGCTTAAAGTTTACATATAAACATAAATTGGTAAAACATAGAACCTAGAAAAAAAAGGCCAAACTATTTATACTCGATTTTTAAAATTGAAATCCAAACAGGAACATGTGTTTTACTTATTTTCTTTTAAATATTGAATTGTTTTACCGGATCTTTTATTCTTCAGGACAAATTAAGAACGAGCGTTACCCATGCTGGATTTTTGCCATATGGAAATTACTAACAATGTCTCCAAGATTATAGCCACATGGAAGTTGACATATCAAACCCTTAAGTGGCTAAAGTTAGCCACTTTATCTTATGCCTAGGGATGTAATCAAGTCAAGTTGAGCCGAGTATCAGCCTGCTTGAGCTCAAGATCAACTCAAAAACACAAAGCTTGAAACTCAACTTGAGCTCGATCGAGTTTCATGTATTTGGCTCAACTCAACACGAGTTGATACTTGCTAGCTACTCGAGCTTGACTCAACTCAACCTGATTATAAATAAATTAGTATTAAAATTTATAATAAATTAATATTATAAATACTATAAATAAAAATATATTGTGAAAATCAATTATAAATGTATTCCTTTATATTATAAATAAGTTAAATGTCAAAAAGCTATGTTTATTTATACTAGTGGGGACTTGTGCGATGCATGGGATTTATCAAGGAAAAGTGAAACAACGGAAACTGATAATTATATTAATAATTTGAGTAATTTGTTATAAAAACAATTTAATAATATAGATTAATTATATTAATAATTATTATAAAAAATAATAAATTACTGCTAATTGCTCAATAAATAATTATTTTTCATATTATCCACTAGTGTTTTATTTTATTTATTTTACTTTATTAATCATTAAATGTTATAATTAAATTAATATTTTATTATTTTATTAATACTTTTTATTATTATTTTATTAGTCTTTAATAATTAATATCTTAGTATTTATACTTAATATTTTATATTAATATTTTATTTATACTTAATATTATTTAATTATTAATATTAATATTTTTATTTTATTATTTATTTATTACTTAGTAGTAATATTGTTATAACTAAAATTATTTTTCCTACCCCAAAATATATTGTACTAATATTTTATTTATACATTATTATTATATTTAATAATTAATATCTTTGTTTGCTATTATAATTTTGGTAATATTTTATTATAGTACTATTATTTTATTATTTTACTAATATTAGGGTTTTGTATCATGAGTTCTTTAGTCCTTAAGGGGGGGCCTAAAATACCCAAACGTCCTTACATCACCCCCTCTCTCTTTAATAATATAAATGCTCTCTCTCTCTCTCTTCCACTCATTAATACTTTCTCTTATTGTTTCTCTTTACTTCATTATGTTGTATTACTACCTCTCTCTTAAATGTCTTTTTTAAATGTAATAATAACATGCATTAAAATAAGAGGCCTTGGAAAACCCAAAGGTCTCTCTCCCCCCCTCTCTCTAATAGTGCAGCTTTATTAATCCAATCAAAATAGGCAGTGATTATTTTTTTATATTTTTAAAACAAAAGAAAATAGAAAAAATGCAAAAACTAGAGAAAATAGATAAACAGCTTCTCTCGAAGGAGAGACATGCTGACATGGACCGTCCAATTTTATATACGTACAAATATATTAAAAAAAATAGTATTTTATTATGACCTCGATTACACATGAACCAATCGAGCTGGTATTGTGAAGCTCGAGCTCGGCTTGAGCAACTACCCATAAGTGATATGGGTAACTTCAACTCAAGATAATTAAATGTTTTCAGTTAAAACTAAAGATCAGGTTTTCACTAGACTCTGGGTAAAGAACTAAGATGCCTATATATGAACAAACCAATATGAATTTGAGAAATATGGTACAACTCACCATTCCATAAAACTAGGACATGGAATAGGTATCAATGCAGCAACAAAGTGATCATATTTGGAAATTCTTAAGTTTATGTTGTATAGTTTTTGGATAGTAAAGTCATTATTTTTTTTTTCATTTTACATATTTGGTATTTATCTAGGCCCAACCTAATTTCTAACATGTATAATCATAGTCATTTTTTTTTCTAAATTAGGGACGTAAAACTCCATGTCTCTTATAAAATAAAAAATAACCTTCTTAAACCGTGATCTCATTTAAACCCACAACCTTCCTATCATCAATGGTAGAGACATTCACCAACACGATTAATCTCTTTCAAACCCACAAACTTAAGGCACCCGTCTTCTCTTGGACCGAAAGACACTACGATGTTTGCTAAATTGACTTGATTCGCACTCTAAACTTGAAACTGACTTTAAGGTAAAGGCTAACTTCTTTAAGACTTGGAGAGAAGGGTGACCCAAACAACAATGCCACTGGTGAGGTGTGAGAAGAATGAAGGGCTTTTTATGAACCACCATCACCATAACTCAAGAACTACCGATTCAAAGAACACAATAAATTTGATTGCCTATCTCAAGAACCAATCAACCAATCAAAGTATTGCAGCTTGCTAACTAGGCTAAGACCACTAAACAAACACCATGGAGGCAAAATTCAGGACTGTCACCACACATATAAGTTACTACAAAAAAACATCACTGCAACATAAATAAGTACTTCACAGTACAGAGACTACTAGGAATTTCTACGGACACCACAGCTTCACAATAACTAACCACCAATGATCTAGTAGCAACACACCTTCACCGATTTACAGCTTCCTCTTCACAGCACAAGACTCTTCTAATTGATATATTGCAAAGATTTACCATTTACAGCACAACACAAATATAAAGTAGATGTATCAATTCATCCAAGCCTACCGACCCAAAGGTAGAAACAAAACTTGACTGCCGATCTCAAGAACTGCACTAAAGAACCCTTGCATCAACCCAGATTACATCACCAGGTTTAGAGCAAACAGCAGCACCAACAAATCATTAAAAAAAATTACCTGAAATATCCTCCAAAAATTTCCTTTTTAGAACTGTCAATTAGAGAGATTCTGAATACCACTCAACTCACTCCACAAAAACAAAATTGAGGCATAGTAGCCTCTTTCCTTTAAACCGATTAGTCAAAACAAGTTTCTGATATCCTCTACTATGCGTATGGTGGAAGCCCAAATCTCTTTTATTATGTATAAGAATAACAGAATTACAGCAATACCCCTATTTATGCAAAATAAGGAGACACAACTCCAGCCGCCTATATTTCTAACAGTTACCAATGCATCTTCATGGTAATCTAAAGGAACCTGTTTACATGAAACCATGACCCAGGTACTATATCGATCAACACTTGGTATGTCCAAGGTTCAAAGTATCGACACGAATCAGCCCGTATCAACACATTCAATAGTGTGCCTATGCTTCTTTTCTCATTTCATAAAATATCATTCTATATTTTTGCATATTTTACAATGTTTCCATCATGTTTATAATTTTTAAAATATTCCCATACAATATTCCTGACATTTCAGACATGTTTCCTATAATTGAGTGACTGATATTTCCACCAACATTGACATTTAAACATTGATTACAATAGGTTGTATATAGACTATTTTGTACTTTGCCCAGTAATAAGGGACATTTATATAATTGTATGTATCTTTATCCCATTTAATAAAACTAGCTCTTTGAGGGTGGGGGCCTTCATTCGATACACCCTCCAAAGTCTATAACCCAAGACTTGGAAGAAGATGCAAGACATGCTATACCTGACCTAGCGAGAGTGAAGGATGTTACTAAAAGAAGAGGAAGACAAGCAAATTTTCGCATACTTCTTACGGGTAACCAAAGTTGCCAAGGCGATGCCTAGGTGACAAGGCGCCCTTGGAGGCTCACCTCGCCTAATCGCCAAGCAATTTTGTATATCATGTTATAAAATAATTTTATACTCTTAATTTTCTGAGATTATAATTATACAATAGACATAGTTAAACTAAAATATTCATTTTACTAAATTCTTTTATTATTTTCTTATTTGTTAGGGTTTAATCAACATAGACATTGCTAACTACTGTATTGTCTTCTTCTTCTTACACCTATTCTTTTCTTTTCCTATAATAAAAATAGGGGTTCACCGCCTATATTTCTTGAATTTTCCTTCACACTCACAATCACACTGTACCACATCCACCAATACCTCTACTTCTAGTAGTACTTCCATCTCTACCACCTCCACAACGACCTCTAGGACCATGACCAACACCTCTAAATCCACTTCCTCTACAACACGTCTCTTCCAGTCCCTCCAGCAAGTGCTAATGCGGATCTCTCAGATGGGGAACATTCTAAACTTGTGGATCGGTTTACTGCAAATAGGGTGTGGATTTCACTCCTACCAAGATTTGAGCACAAACAGGCCCAAGTTTCGGACTTTAACCAAACAAAAATCGTGCCAAATCGAAATGTTCTCTCTGCTCCTGCTGCATCTTCAGATTATTTGAAAGAGGTTGATATACATTTAATTTATTCCTTAAATTTTTGAGAGCTGAATAATATTCCTCCACACATTTCTCACCCTATTGAAGATGGAAATAATCGTGGTACAACTGAAGTTATCTTGGC